GATAGCATTACATCTCTATTGATTTATTAACTATTAAAAAGAACTACCTAGTTGCAAAAAAGTTACAATAAAACTGATTAGTAGTATTATGGGTAACAATTACCAAGGTATTTGCAAGCATGTTGTAAGATATATTTTCAATGTTATGATTTAGTTGTTTTTTAGAGGGATCTGCCAACTATAATGATATAATAATCAAGAGCCTAATATTTAGAGAGAAGAATACATTGTTTATAAATACAATTAATCAGTTAGAGAAGTTAATGAGAATTCAGTGAAGTATTTAGTATGATAGTTCAGCTCAGTGTCAGAAAAGTTATTCACTGAGAGTTATTTGTATTTAGTAATTTGATTGATTTGTTATATAATTGTGCAAGCAAGTTTAGATTTGTAAGTTAGGCATAGTACCATTAGTGAGGATTTTCTGTTAATGTTATTTGTAACTTAGGCCTACAGTTTATGTTAAAGTGAACATAACCTGTAGAAATGTTATAGGAGAAGTAAACTAATTTGTTATTGTTACGTGGCTGGACTTAGCATTATTTTCACCAAATAATTCAAAAAATCATGCCCAAAATTAGAACACATTATAGTACTGGTGTTAGAAGTGGGACTATCTTGGTGAAAATAAAACAGAACTTTGACTTAACTCCAAACTTCATGGTGACTACCCAGGCATGAAGTGAAATCAAATTTACTAGAGATGATGAAACAACTAAAAGAAGATCAAGAAGAAAGAGACAGAAAATTAAAATAACATCAAGAGGAAAATTAAGAAATGTAACATTTAAAGAAGAAAACAAAAATAAATATGATTGAAGACAAGAGCAACAAAGCTGTTAAAGATGTGCAGATGGATTACAACAACAAGAGTGAAAAAGTACAGAAATGTTGTAATGACAAAATGGAAATAAAAAAGCACAGAAAGGCTGCAATGAGAAAGTCAAAGAAGTACAAAAAGATCAATGACAGAATAAAACCTTTGGAAAAAGAATAGGTAAACAAAAAGATCAAGCCATTCACATCTCTTTCTGCATTATTTTGAGATTTTCAATCTCAGAAACCACTTACTATTAAATATTGAGCATTTGGTATTTAGTCAACACTTGTTAGCACTACTGCTGTCCTATCTGTAACTGCAGGATTTTTCTGAACTACACCAGCCATTACACTACTAAATCAAGTTTTAGAAATGAGCTGACCAGTTCAACAATATCACAATTAAGAAATCAAAATCCCATGATGGAAGGGTATCCTGGGAGGCATACCAGGCTAAGTTGGAAATTATTTCCAGAGTGAATGGGTAGAATAGTGTACAACTTATTTGTCTTGTTGTACATTTAAGAAGACCAGCTTTAATGATATTAAATAACCTTCCAACTGAGAGCTGTAACAACTATCCAACAGATTGAGAATTAGATATCAGAAAGAAGTATCCAGAGCAAAGTTCCTGAAAAGCAGATGGAGGAAAGAAGAGACCTTAGCCAAACTTGCAGAAGATTTGGAAAGTCTTGCTCAATTATCATAGCTGAATGCTCCTCATGAGTTGAAGCATACCATTAAAGGACAACAAGAGACCTTTTGGTTCATATAGGCCATTCTATCCACTAAATTAGACTAAACACTAAAAAATGCAAAGCTAGCTTTTATGATTCAAATATTTATCAAGATTTACCTTAAATCAATGGTATTCACCACATCTGAAGGCAATATTCATTCCAAAGGTCAACTACCCTGTTAGAAAAAAAAAAAAAACCTTTATTGACTATGACTTCTACCCTACTAAACTTATACTTTTGTCCCCTAATCTTACCATTCTCATCATTAAATGCTTAAAAAACTATCATTTTTTTTTAATCTTAAAATGCCTCAATCATATCCTCTAACTATTCCTTTTTTCAATGGAAAGCAAGTTCAAACATCATAATCTGTCCTTTTAGGACAACCTTCTGATCCTCCCTTGAAGCCTTTCCAACAATTCAATGTCCTTTCTGAGGCAAGGATCCCAAGATTCAACACTGTACTCCAAATGTGGCCTAAACAATGACCTATACAATAACATTATAACCTCTCTGGACTTGTATTCAATATTTCTTTAGATACAACCTAAAATCCTGTTTTGGCCTGCCACTAGAAACACCACATTGCTTGTATGGCTTAAGAGACCAAACAAGCAGAACACCAAGATCCTTTTCTTTCATAATTGTTAATGTTTTCCCCATCAAAATTATACTCATAATTTAAATCATGATATTCCAAATTAATTACCATGCCTTTATTATAATTAAATCATTTCCCATTTATTCCCCCCACTCACCAAATAATACAAATCCTTTTGTAGTGCAGTAGCATCCTTCTCACAGCCAAAGCTCCTAAAACTTTAATATCATCAGCAAATTTAGATAATAAATTTATATAAATCTTTTTCATTGATGTAAATCAAAAATAGCAAAGGTCTTCACACTAAGTCCTGAGGTACCTCACTTGTGTCATTAGTCCAGTTGGACCAAACTCTATTTATAACAACCCTCTGCTTTCCTCCATCTAGCTAATTTTTCTATCCCATAAGCCAACCTATCTTTCATACCTACAGAGAACTTTTTAACAAGCCATTTATGCGACACTTTGTCAAATGCTTTATGAAAATGTAGGTACACCAAATCCACACTTGTACCCTCCTATACATTAGCAGTAACTTCTTCAAAGAATGTTAAAATAGTAGTAAGGCAAGATTTCCCTCCATTGAAACCATTCCATTCTGACTATCCAACAATATTTTAAACTTTGTTAAATAACTTTTCATAGTATCTTTTATCAGATTTTCAAAACGTTTTCCAACCACTGATGTAAGACTAATAGGGCTAGAGTTACTGGGACAGTTATCACCTCCCTTATAAAGCATAGTAACATTAGCCAACTTCCAATGTTATGGCACCTGCCCACTATTCAAGGACTTGGAAAAAAAACAGTAGGAAGTGGCTCACATATCCAGTTCTTTAACTTCTTTCAAAACCTTTGGGTAAACATTATCTGGCCCAGGAGCTTTATCATTCTTTAAACTAATTTTTTCCTAACAAGCTCCGAATTAATGTGATCGTTTTACTCAGTCGTGTTTCTATCTAACAATTGTTTAGGACAACTTCATTAGTAAAAACTGAAGAAAAACTAAAACCATCCCGTAGCCTTATATTATCCCTCAAAGGCCCTGCTTCTATCCTAATGTTTGCATATTATCCTTAATGTATTTGAAGAAATCCTTATTATTGATTTTTACATTTTTGGCAAAATATTTTTGTGTACTTTTTGATTTCCCATTTGACCAAGTCATTTGTGTACTTTTTGATTTCCAAGTCATTTGATCTTCTACAATCCTCCAAAATCCCATCTTTGCAATCAAGTTAAACTTCTTACATTCATAATGCCAATAATGTGAGCCAACCTGGATTTTTTCATTTTTTACTATTTTTTTGTTTATAAGATACATGCCTTTATTTATTTATTTAAGATACATTTTTATTAAATATAAAACATTTTTAATGAATCAGATGTTTTTAATTGTTAAAAAGATAAACATATGTTAAATTATCTTTTCTTGCTATTTAAACATTCTTGAGATTTAGGGGTACTAGGTAGTTTGTACCATCATTATCTTAGTGCTTCAACAGTATTGGCTTCTTTTTTGATTCAAGGAACTGATGTTGAGCAAGGTAATATACTTAATAAAATAAAGTTAGAAAGTTGTCTTAGCTGGAGATGGGAAAATCTCAAACTTATTTTATCATCTTAGACAGTGGAGTGCTTTTGAACAGTAAGCATAGGGAGACATTCTAACAAATCTATTAAACCTACTGTGAGTAACAGCAAAACAAATTATAATAATAGTTATTTTCTAGTTTAGTGTTATGAACATGGCATTAAATAGTGGAAACGTGTTACTGATGCAGTGACCTTATTGTATTCTAAAGATATGATGCCCATGTATACAGTAGAAAAAAGAAGGCTTCAAAAAAGCTGTTGTTTATGATTTGTAAGAGATACCAATTTCCCAATCGTAAATTTTTTAGAAAGTGTTTTTACTGACTTTATAGAATGCATTCACTGTGTTTCTATTGTCAGTTGCAATGTCAGGGGTGTGGGTGTGACAATTTTTTTTTTGCAAGTTTTACAGTTTTTAAATTTAGCTTGAAATCTTGCAAAATTCACTTTGTGTGCATAAAGTTATAAAAAAAATTAATATGCATTAGGTAATGATATCTTTAATAAATATCAAAGCTCATCATGAATAGTCACTATCATATAGAAATATGGAGCCATATTTTTTTTCTCTAGTGTGTGTGTGTGTGTGTGTGTATCTAGTTTTTCTGATAGCACATCTATTTTATAGTGTGGATTTTACTTTAAAATTAAAAAAAATTAAATTGCTCAACTATTGCAGATTTAAAATGTTAATAAAACTTGAAAATGTGTATATTTGTAATGTTTGTTTATCTACATACATTTTCTATATACATTAGAGTGATCTTATGGTTGTGATGCATTATTATTTGAGGTAGTACCATTTATTCTGCATTTAACGGAAGGGAAAACAGTGTTTCTATCAAAATTAAGTTAGTGTAGAAGGTAGAAAAATAATGTATCTCACACTCTCAATTAACATTTGTTGTAAAGCAACTTTTTTTTTAACATTTGCAATCATCAGTGTGGTTTACTCTTTGTGAAAGGTATTATCACCTAACTGTGAAGAAAGTTGCTTTCTTTGATAATTATCAGTTTGTTGGTGAAAATGCCCAGATAGCAATCCATTCTCATCTCACCCACATTTTTGTTCCATATTTCATAATACTGTAATGGAGATAGTTAAATTAACAAAATGTATACTGTTCTTTGATAACAAAAAAATATGAGGTGTGTTTATAAATTACAGACATTTTGTTGAAATACACACACAAAAGAAAAAGAGGGGAAAAAAGAAAGAAATTATATCTTACCTTAAATTCTAGGTTTGCTTGACTTTAACAGCCAAAAGAATGGCTGCCAAAAATTGTTTGGTAAAGAACTTGGAAGCTGTAGAGACCCTAGGATCCACTTCCACTATCTGCTCTGATAAGACAGGAACACTGACCCAGAATCGTATGACAGTTGCCCACATGTGGTTTGATAACCAGATCATTGAAGCTGACACTACAGAGGATCAGTCAGGTAATTTTTTGGATAAGTTTTGTTTTCTGCATTTCATAATATTTCATTATGATCATTGAAAAAGGTAAAGAAAGCTATTACTACTTTGCTTTCTATTATCAAAAGCAATGATGCTCATTTTTTAGTTAAATCAGATTAAAAATGTTATATATATATAATACATTTTGAATCAAGTGTTATTTTATATAAATATGGGCATACTTTTCCAAAACTAAATACATATACAAGCATTTCAGCATACATTAAGTGTAACTTTAGAAAGTTTTGCAACTGCTTCTTTAAAAATAAGAAAAATTAAAAGAATTAAGTAGATGTGCAAAATTTACTTTTTACAACCTACCAGTAATTAAGTAGATATCCCCAAGAATATAAATTGACTATCTTCATGACTTCATATGCATAAAACCCTGATGTATAAATACAGGTGCAGCTTGGTAAAGATCACAGAGTACAAACAGGCATATCATGAATGAAGGGACCCTAGCAATTGATCATATTTTTTATAAGGTTGCACAGTTGGCTGGTTAGAGGAGTAGCCAAAGTCAGTAGGAAATCACTATGTCACCTGCATTATTATCACCCACAGTGAATAGTGTGCCAGTGCAGTTCTAGTCATGTTCCACATGGCCCAAGCTCTCAAATCCAAACAGAACAAATGGCTGATACTGTTACAGGACAGGTGGAAGTGTGCACAGTACCATCAGAAAGTAACTTTACTGTATTGGTTTACACGGGAAGAGTAGCTGGATGGAAGTCACTCCTCACTTTAAGCAATATCTTGCATCGAAAGCAGTGAGCATTGAAGATGCTTTCATGCCCTTCTGCCTTTTGGGGGACTAATTATTATCATTGAGACCAAATTTGCTTATTTCTCGAACAGTTAATGCACCCGAGTTTCACAGCTATCCTCTCAGGAACTTTCATTGAACTGTCTGCAAGCTGTTGTAAACAAGATATTATAATATTTCTGTTATGATGTGGGCAATTGATGATATGAGAAGGGACAGCCACTGCTGCTTGATACATCACAATTCACAAACAAGGCACCCTACCTGTCTACATCAATGAACAGCATAATGGACAAGACAGTGTTTATGTACAAAGTGGGAGTCTTGGTCATTCACCATGTGTAAGAAAATGATTGCTTGAAGATCAGGGAATTGCCAGTCACAGGATGTGAACTTTAAACAGCATGTGATCCATCCTTAACCGTTCTGTGTTAAAGAATCCCAAACAACTTACTTCTATGGGCATCCTCATTCAAGTTGTTTGTTTATGAGTGCAGTGCAGTCCCAGATTTCAAATATTATAAATACAATGTATGGCCATGTGTCTGCTTTAAACATTGCAAAAGGTAGATCCAATAAATTCTGTTAGTAATCTTATACTCATTGTTTCATATTTATTTATTTAGTAAAATGTCATTTTTTCTTGAGTGAGTAAACTGTGTATTGTTATGTATGTATGTATGTGTGTGTGTGTGTGTGTGTGTGAAGTTTGTGGATTAAGTGATTAGTTGTGAACAAATATACATAACCTAAGCTGTCAAATATGGAAATTTAATTTTCAATAAATGTACTCTTGTAAGTTTTATATCTCGTGGAATATTTGGTTTTAGTTAAGACCTAGATTGTTCCTCTCTTCATCTTTCTGGTATGTGAACTAAAACTGTTACCAAATTTATTGAAAATTTTACTAACCTGTATAATGCAAGATGAGAAAAGCAACACAAGACTTGAAAGATGTGCAAAATACAGCATAAATTGCAGATGATTTGCATCATTACAGAAAACATTGAAGTATTACAGATTTAGACACAGAAGTATGTAATGTAATACTTAGTGATAGGTAAATAATGTGTTATATGCTTGGGAAAATGTTTCAATGGTCCAACTTACCCAGGCCCAATTTTCTCACCCTTGTCTCATCCTTACCCTTTTAAAGTACCTTTCTTCCCTTCATCTTCCGTCAGAGGCTCTTCACAGGAACCATGAGGGGTTTTGTGCTGAAATCCACTCCATCCTTACGTTGGCTTGTCTATATGGCTCTCGCTCTTCAAACATGGTTTGTTTGTTGTTGAGACTTCTTGGACTGTGACCTTCCTCTTCCCGTGATCTTTACCTGGTTACCCTGACCAATTGGGTTCGAAGTTTGATTCAGTTGGCCTCTTCCTTCTTCTCTCCTTCCCAGGATAATGTTTCACATAGCTGCAATAATTGGCCAGCAGACAAAGTTATTATTCAGGGTTACCAAAACAAGCACTGTTGTGTATACTGAGCAGATCTTTAAAAGCATACAATAACTGATTCTATTTTTTTTTTACAATTGTGAAATTCATTTCCAGTCGTGCAGTTAAATATTATTGAAGAATGTTTTTTAAAGGTAATAATGGTTGCAGTATAGGAAAATGATTGGAGATAATGGTTAAAGTATTTCCAAATATATCCTTCACAGTGTACAAAGTTAGATTTGTTGAGAACAGTGAATATGCTAAATGCTCAGGAAGAACATGCACTAATGTCTGTACAGAACTTACTACTGAAATTAGTTAAAACAGAAAATTTCTAACAAGATTGGATCAAGAAAGGTGAAAGGGGATTTATGCAGAAAATTATGCTACAGTAGAGTAGTTGGTGTGTGACCTTAGAAATAACTTAGCATACTTTTGAGTATACTAAGTAACATTTTAAGTTGAATTTATACATCATTGATGGAAAAGACATTTTTATTTTTCATAAGTTCAAGTTACAGAAAATGTCAAAAATGAAACAGATACTAAAAGGCAACAGTATTATCCATGGTGAAAGAAAGAAAAAGAATAAGAATTGCAGCATCTTGGTTTGATGAAATTTGTAAAATGAAAGACATATCTTTCTCACCAATGGTGTGGTGATAACTGTGTTTGTCAATCTCTTGCTGTTCAATATGGTTTACTGTTGAGATATATGATGTCCTAGAAAATGTGATGATGGTAGGAGAATTTCTACAAAAAAGTGTTTTGCATGTTGACCTCAAGGTGGGCTTTAGGTACTTAACTCAATGACCTAATACTTGAAAAAGGAATCGTAGATGTCAAATGCTTCCCCACCTACCCACCCCCAAAAAGAAATAACCTCTTGCATTATAGTAAGAAACATTTAAGGATTTTTGTAATAAACCAACCACTGAAAATAAATTTGAAAAAACAACAAATGAAACAGTTACTACTATCACGTAAAAGGATTTTTAAATATTAGTCACTTGTAACTTTCCCATTTAGACACGAATATTTTTGAACAATCCAAACTTATTGAGAACAATCATGTTATCAAAGTTAGATTGCTTGTATGTGAGGCACGTGTGCCAGATGGTTGCAACATAATATTTGTATCAGAGTCCTTTTTATGGAAAAAGCTAATAGAAAGGAAAATAAAGATGGATAAATATGAAGAAAAAACTGTTATTTCTTAGTGGCTTCCAGGTGGATTAAAATAAACATTGATGTTTGATCAATGATGTGCATAAACCTACATATGTAATATCAGAATTTGCTGTTTAGAACTAGTTGTACTTATTTTTTCTTTAAATTATTGATTATACTCAATATAAAAAAAAAAAATTTTATATGAGATAAAGTAATTATTTTCACACTGTTAAGAATACATTTTGGTGGACTTGTAGCGTAACTTAAGATTTACTTACACATATTTATGTGGATCTGTTTACTTTATATTCCATTATTAAAAAAAAGTGCACTGCAAAACTAATTTACACTTGAAGAAATTAAAATTTTTATATTTTACTGAAACTTGACCAGATTGTTTTGATTGATGTTGAATCTTGGCATTGTTATATACAAATATAATTATCCAAGGTAGAATGTAACATAAAAAACATTGTTTTAGTAAACTTACCGACATGCTTTTTCATGCTGGATATTTTGTCTATATATCTATTTATTGTTATATATACAGTTTTAGATCTACATTCCACAAGGCTACATTTGTTTATGTATCCATAAATTAAGGTTTATATTAGCAACCTAATTTTTTAACTTGTGGCATGCTGTAATTTATTGTGAGCCATAAATTATCAATGAAACTTTTTTTGTAATTGTTACATATACAAAATTTGAATATAGAATGATAATGACTGAATAGTGAATAATTTGTTTCAATAACATTGCAAGAATGAGTGGAAGTAAGCCTGTGATGACATTGTTTCATGATAACATCAGTCTATCAAGTAGCTTAAAGGACAAAAGTTATACATTAAGATATATTATGTATGTGTTACATGACAGGAAACATTAAGTTAATTAAATATTTCTTCATAAAAAGAAAGATGTTTTTGTATTGTACACTTTTGAACTTGTTTTTTATATATAAGGGTTATAAAAGGTTATTATATGTACTTGTGTTATATATCTGTATTATTTAAAATGTTGATTTCAGGTGTGCAATATGACAAATCATCTTCTGGTTGGAAGGCCTTGTCAAGAGTAGCTGCTTTATGTAGCCGTGCAGAGTTTAAAGGAGGCCAAGAAAATGTACCAATTTTGAAAAAGTGAGCAAAATGAAATTTTCAAACATGTAGAATAGTTGGCCTTAAAAAAAGATAGATATTTAAATGTAACTAAGTCATAGATTTAAAGTCTGAAAACTCAGAGATTTAAAACATGAAGAGAACAAATACTGAATGTACAAAAAATGTATGGAAACAAACAATTATTTTAGTAAACTATATTTATAACCTGGAAAGATCCATTAAAATGACAAGCCAAACAGGTCACATTGTTTCCATAGATCTTAAAGAAAAAATAGAGAATAGTAGTAGTAGTTTGAAAAATAAATCAATTCTTAAAAATAATATCTAAATTATTTATAAAACCAAATTTTAAGTTCATATATAACTTTTTTGATGCTAGTGTTGAATGTGATAATTGATCAATATATTTTCGATGACGAGGAACCTACTTTGAGACTAATGATGGCTGGAGACGGCTTGAATTGGTAATGAAGAAAAACTTTAATATAAGTTTAACATAACAGCAAATGTATAACGTTTCAACAAGGTTTTGTCATCATCAGGCATTTAGCGACCATTTCTGTTTACCAGACACAAGTTGTTTTTAACTCTCACAAAGTAGATGCATTTCACCTTTACTATTCACTGTTTGAGTACACAGTGCATGTTATATTTCCCCCCAGTGGCGGACTTAAAATGCTAGAAACAGGGTTTCGATACCCATGGTGGCCAGAGCACAGATAGCCCATTGTGCAGGTTTGTGCATAACTACCAACTACAAACAAACCAGCATATTATATTTATCACATTTTTAATGACAAAAAATATTTATAATGTTGTTGTCAATAAGTGTATGTTAATTCAACTTATTAACTTTCCATTGTTTTTATTTAATTTTACATGTGACATTCTATTGTCAAAATATACATAAAAATGACTTACAGTTGTGTATCTAGTGTAACTGTTGTTTTCCAAAGTAGCTTAGTATGAACTTAGAAGTTCTGGAGGAAATCACAAAAGTAGTTACCACTACTGTTGCACATCCATGACCTCTCAGTGTATCAAAATTAACATCAAACATCGGGAAAATTTTTTGCCCCAGAAACTAAAAACTGAAGGCTGATTGGAGAAGCCCACCAATTTCAAGCACTGCTTTAGGTTTAGCTACTTATTTGTGTGATGCATTTATGCTAAACTTTATTTTAGCAAACAAAAGTATTGAAAATTGGAAAAGGCTTACAAATTGAGCAAAAAATGGTATTGCTTCTTCTTAAGAAAAGCTTCAGTTTGATAAGACTTAGATTGGTAATTGGTGTGCACCCTCAGCTTGACTATCACAAGTACTTTGTCAGTTATGACATAACATAGAGCCATGGAGTTTGATAATTGCAGAAATCTCATGTTTGGAGAATTAGATTCATTCTAGAATTGTTGTCATTAAGCATAACATGCTCTCAAATGGCAAATATAGTGAAGGCAAAGAAAGCCAATACTTTTTATTTCAACCAAATGCACAGTATAAAATAGGCATATTTTTAACTTCAAACCTAATTGTTTATAACATTATATGCATCAACTATTGAATGTTAAAATAAAAAATTACTTCTAAACCTTGTATAGGGAGTGCTCAGGTGATGCATCAGAATCTTCTATCTTGAAATGCATGGAACTTGCTGTTGGAAACATCCAAGAGTTTCGAAAACGTAATCCTAAAGTGTGTGAAATTCCATTTAATTCTACAAACAAGTATCATGTAAGTACATTCATTTGTATGCTTGCATTTATTGGAAATATCACTAACTTGTATTATCAAAGTTTTTGTGACTTTCATGCCTTAGGTGTTTGTTATACATGAAAAAATATACACTATAATAGTTCAACTAACACCTTAACATTTACACCACTCATATATCAAGTATTAATATGTTTGTGTGTTTATAGCAGCTTTGCCAAAAAATATTAACTTAATTTCAATAGTACAGTTGATGTACCAGTAAAGTTTATTCATGCCTTAATCCTCTATCTACATGTAGGTTAAAGTGAACATGTCACAAACTTTTTACAGAGTTACATTCAAATTTAAATTAAATTATTATCAATGTATATGAATAAATATGGCCTCAAATTGTAGTTAATAAATCAGATTTTCATATTATATAAGTTTTAATTTCTTACTTTTAAAAGGAAATATTTAAATAAATCCTCAATCTTCCCTTGTATTGTGAATTGTAACATTTGTTCTCTAGGTCTAGCCAATTCTCTAATTTATTTACCACCTTTCTCTGAAGTAGGGAGTTTTGTGTAAATTACTCATTTTAAAAAGATATTACTAAGGCAAAGTGTAATTTTTATAGCCTTCAATCTTCTTTGTTTATGGAAACAAACTAGAAAGTCGGCCCCACCTGTCAAATCCTCTTTCACAAATTGCCACTAATTCTGTGACTCTTTACATTATATCATTTTTAACCAATAGAAAGACAACGTTTTAATCTCTCAAAGGATGTATTACATTATTTTCAGTACATAGTATTTTCTATTTCATCTTTTTTAAGGCTCTTATGACAGTTAAAAAGCCAGTTTGGCACAAAACTAAACCTGACACACACAACTCTATGTTATGATTGGCTAGCTCTTAAGGCCAACTCATATTGAACATCTGGTTTACGTGACATCGACATCCGAGCCTATATATTTCATCACACTCATTAAACATAACCCTTTATTCTCCTGAAGAAGAATAATCAACTATTTGAAAGTGCTCGAGTTTTGGGTCTCGTTTTGAAATTATAAATAGATGTAGACTGTTACAAGCCTTAAGCTACTTAAGTTAAACATTTCTAATTTTCTGTTACAAAATTTAAAAAGGGTAATTTAGATTTAATTCGTATGTTTTAAGATTGTCACAAGGTCGGTCAAATTTTCTGTTACAAAATTTAAAAAGGGTAATTTAGATTTAATTCGTATGTTTTAAGATTGTCACAAGGTCGGTCAAATTTTCTGTTACAAAATTTAAAAAGGGTAATTTAGATTTAATTCGTATGTTTTAAGATTGTCACAAGGTCGGTCAAATTTTCTGTTACAAAATTTAAAAAGGTAATTTAGATTTAATTTGTATGTCTTTAATGAAACATGTTAAAAGTTGATTGTGGACAGCTATGTGCAAACTGTATGCTGTTTACTTTGTTATGGTACAAAGTTCAAAGTACTTGTGCTTGCCTTGCATATGAGGTATTTTGCAGTGCATATTTGGTACCTGGGGTGTCAAATTTTGTGCATCTCAACCAAATCTCGTGTGCAGGATCTAGGAGTTCAGGTTAACTAGAACCCTGTAGGGGTAGAGAAAATAATAGATAGAATATGTAGTTTTACTGGGAAAAAAATGTTTGATATTTATTAGGTTTTGAGAGGTTGTGCAAATTATATTTGAAAACTGTAAGATGAAGAAAAGTATTTTTAATTTTAACATGCAAGTCTGTGCTTGTAGCAGTCAACACTCCATATGTTCACAGACAAACCTTTTATTAATTGGAAATATTTGTGTGCCAAATTTTGTGAAAATATATTAAGTTATAGTATGGAAACTCTTGTGGTTATTTTTTTGGTTGCAGAGTTGATAATATCGACTGACCCTGTATTAAGAGTTAAACTGTGAGATAAGTTATTACTTTCACCACCGATGCCAATGTGTATGTTTATGAGCAGGATTTCTCGAAAACAGATGAATGGATTTGGACATGTAACTTTCAGACAAATATGAACTTGCACCAGCATCCAATCCTGTTTGTTCAAATTTTATCAGCTTCTGATAACTTCATTGCTACATGTTCATTGATTTCACATCACTACCATCCTAATATTACCATTTCTCTAGTAATGCTTTATGAGAGCAATTCTGACATTCAGTGGAAACCTATTAGAAGTTGTTTTTAAGGCAGAGTGAATCATGGCATGTTTATTGCTGGTTTATACATTTCTTGGTATGCATATTTCATTTTCAGCCCCTCCCTCATGTGACATTTATTTTTACCACTAAAATTGCTTTTCTCACTGTCTCGTTAGGTTGTCTTCCAAATATTGGAGCTGTTTAGTGATTACGTGTGATGTTAGTTCTTTACACACTACAGTGAATATCATATATCCATATAGGTATTTGATGAATATGTAGTGCCAATGCTGCTAACTTATACTTTTATTCAGCAGACAAGGTGTTTAAGAATTTAGTTTTTCTCACCACTTTCCTTAAATTTCAGTGTCAGGTGAAATTGAATGATGAATCCCACATTCCTATCTCTGAAACATGTTAACTGTAATAATTTTGTATATATATATGTGTGTGTATGGGAGTATTTTTCTTATAATAACTATACTGCTAAAATTCTATTACTGTTATTACTCTTTTCTATTAAGTCATATTTTCAACTTTTAATTATTTTTTGTAGGTGACTATTCATGAAACTGAAGATCAAGAGGATCCAAGCTATATTTTGTGTATGAAAGGAGCTCCAGAAAGAGTTTTGGATTTATGTACTACAATTTACATTAATGGAAAAGATAAAATCCTGGATGAAGATATGAAGGAAGCATTTAACAATGCATACCTAGAACTAGGTGGACTTGGAGAGCGAGTCATTGGTAAAGTGGTTTTATTTTATTTTATAAAGCATACTGTAATAATACTCAGAAAAGTAATGAAACATAATTTTTTCCATTCTGACTGAAACAGCTGTATTTGTTTTCTGGTAATATATTACACCAGTTTATAATAAGAAGCATCCCAAATAAAATATAAAAAATGGATTAAAGAAAAGCAAAAAAACAAACAAACATGAATTAAAATAAAAAATTGAAAATAAACAGTTGCTCTTACATGTCAATATACTGTTGTATTGGTGCTGTTATATATTCTGAATTGCTGATTTCTTTTCCTAAGAGAAGAAAGTTTTCTAAACTAAACAATTAATGTTAAAATAGACATAATGGTTTGATCTGTATGTTTCATAGGACTCAATATAAATGAATGAAAGTGATATATCTAAGTATAATTTTTCCCCAGGATTTTGTGACTTTAAACTCCCAGCAGACAAGTTTCCACCAGGATATCCATTTGACGCTGATGAGCAGAATTTTCCTATGGGTAATATGCGTTTCTTGGGGCTCATTTCCATGATTGATCCACCACGTGCTGCTGTTCCTGATGCTGTTGCTAAGTGTCGTAGTGCTGGCATTAAGGTATATTCCACAATATATTTCCATTAAAATGCACTGTTGATTTATGTTTATACTATGAATTTTGGTGCGAGCATATAGGCTCCTGTTTTTGTATTCATGTCACTTACTACTTTACAAAAGTAATCGAAAATATTTTTTTAGGTTAATAATTTCTAATACTTGTACAACATGTCACATTAACTCTATCACCATGGGTATCCTTTACTGAGCATGACACAAAGTTTTAGTGTCTTACATTCAAAATTTTATTAAACTACTTTTCTATGTTAATTGTCCAAAAATAATTAATGTACCTTTTAAATGAATTTTTTAAAAAAAACATATCGCTCACTAGATTAGATTATATGAAAACTACTCTAATTTAGTTGGCTTTTTAACTAACCTATAAATAGGTGAAAAAATTGTTGAATAAAAGTTTTTTTCCAAACCCATTGAGCTCTAGTGGCAAATTGGATCTTATGGCTCAAACAAAACAATTTGCTCAATAAGCATCACGACACTAATATTTCCACTCACACCATGACTTTATTTGTATAGCATTATAAAAACACTCTTTACATTGCTTGGTGGTCAAATAATTCACCATTTTCAGGAGACAAAGAACGACACATGAGATTTGTTTATGTACTGGAGTAAATGTACATGTGCAATTAGCATATCATTCAGTGGTACCATTTATAAAATTGAATTCCAAAAATTCATTTTCATGGGATCTGGACTTAGATATCTTCAGAATCATCATTTTGTTTTTAACAATTTCTAATGACACTCTTATATATGTGAAAATAATTTATTTAAATTCATCTGCTTAAAATAATACAAAAAGTTGCCATAAATTCTAATTATTCAAGGATAACCTAGCAAAACATTGCTGCAATAACTTAAAAGTTTAAGATAAATAATTGATTTTCTTGAAATATAATATTATGCATGATTTAGTTATTGGTAATGCAAAGACAATAGTGTTGCATTTTCCTTCAAATAGTCTATGGAATGATCTTTACCAGTATCTGTGCAGAAATGAGAATATTTAAAAAAACATCAGTTTTAAAACACATTAAATTCATGAATTATTTATCTTGTAGAATTTGTGTTTGTGTTTTTGCAACAAGAAATAAATGTATGAGTAAACATATTGTGAAGTTTCTGTATGCACCCACTTATTGCAGTTGCGATGATGGTTAGGCCTGACATTATGGCACAGTATGGTAGGATACAAGTGGCTTAACCATGGACTAGTAAAATTACCTATGAATCAGCACTTTAAAGTGCTAATTTTTATACACTAAAATTATTGCTATGAAATCATAGCATATGTTTTCTTCTGGCATGGTGTAATACATTATAATATACATTTTATTTTTTGAGACAACATTGTAACCAGTTAAGTGAGCTGCATGTTGTGCTAGTGCTGAAAGGATTGCACAACAAGGTATTATGGAAAACAAAAGGGAATTCTCAATAGCTGTGGCACTTGAAATTCTTTGAGGCAGGATTAGAGTAGATTAATTTATGAGACCTTCTTTCCATTTTTATTATCTATGTTTCTGTGTGCCAGCAATATCAAATGTGGGGTGTGCATATACTTGATTCAGTTTTATAACTCATCAGGATCTCTACCAGCCTACCCTCAAATTGAAATTCTTTTAGGTAGGATTTAGAGCAAGTTAATCAATGAGACCTTGAGCATGGTAAAATACATCAATCAAAATGGTTTGACCTCCTGAGTCCAAAACTGTAGTTAGATTTCAAATTGGTAAAGAGATGACAGAGCTATGAGCTAATAGTTTATATTTGAAACAAAAAACTTGGAGACGTTCTATGAGCTGCTGTGCTGTGGCTAACAAAATGGGGGAAAAAAGTCTTAAATGATGGGAAGAGGATAGTAACAACAGTGGAAAATTTGGGAAGACACACTTCCATTCTTGTATGAAAGACTTCCCAATATGAAGTTGGATGTCTATAAAGAATAGCTCAAATAATATTACTTACAGCTGCCTAAAAAAATGAACTGTGGCCAAGGGAAACAAAAAAAAAAAGGATTGTGAATTTGAATATCGATGCTCGTTTTTCATGTATTCTTAATAGAACAATGGAAAAATAAAAAGTTTACTTGCAATTAAAGTATTCATTATGGGTATTCATGCCATTAAATTATTACCTTTTAAACTGTATTTTTGTGATAAAACTATCAACTCCTATTCTTAAACCTGTTTCTTCATAATATAGATGCTAAATTTAAATGTGATATTTTTCATAAGAAAATTTTGACTGCTTTGTATTTTAACTTTGGCAGTTTTATACAAGTTTCTTTTGAGAAAAATCTGGTTAAAATTGGTTCATCTGGCAGATAAGTTGACCAACAAGTATAAATGTTTTCATAAATAGTTGGAAAACATCAGGTTTTTTAATTAAAACATACTTCTCCATTTCACGTTATAAATTGTGATTTATGACTATTTAAATTGAGTCTTCTTACACAGCTAAATTGGAATGTTCGTGAAAAAAAATTCTTTAGCATTCCTTTATACAGGCAAACAAGCCAATTTAATTAGAAATCAATTATGTAAGGTTTGTCATCATACATATCATCATGTTGAATTTTGATTTGTTATTAAGCCTGGATGTATATTAAACTATTTCTTCAATATAATGATCAGTTATTTGTGTTTGAAACTTCAAATGTGGTGTATGAATATAAATGTTCTTTAGTTTATATTGAATCCACCACTAGATGGTTACTTGTTTGCATACTAGAGCATGCAAATTGAAACTGTACATCATTTTACAACCATTAAGAACCATGCATTGAATGTGTATAATGGAGCTATAAGTAGAGAACAATTTAAGATCCTTGCTAAGGCAAATAATGAACAAGAACTGTATATAAAGAAAGTCTGATTAACTGACTCAAATGCTTGAAATTAAATAGTAATTTAAATTACCTATACTCAAGAAAGAAAATTTTAGACTGAGTAGCAAATCATTAGTGTCGATATAAACAGGACAGTAATACTATAAACACCCTATGGTTACTTATATTTGTATTGTAATATAAACTTTGTCAGCTAGCATGAGATAATTTTTTTGTTTATTTTGATGGAAGAAATACTGTGGAAACAATCATGTGTGCAGAAAGTAGTAGATACAATTAATGACTGTATCATTAAAACATAGATCAATTGTTAATGTCTCCTGCATAAAGAAAGTATTGGATCATTGTACTTAGCCAGTTTGCATGTATGTAATAGATGATGAATATTGCTGCTTTTTTTGACTCGATTATATCTTGTTTTGTAGATTGCCATGAAAATATGTGTTACACTTGGGAACTACTTATGATCTGCTTGAATGAATTTAAGCATTATAATAAAATCAGAAAAACTTGTTTGTCATGTGTTGAGACTATACATAAATAAATAATTAAATGATAACCACTGGCCAAAGTTACAACATGTTAACTTTAAATAGAGTTATTACTCAAAATGCATCTGCCTTTGTTGTATCATAGGTAATCATGGTAACTGGTGACCACCCAATCACAGCAAAAGCTATTGCAAAGGCTGTTGGGATTATCTCAGAAGGCAATGAAACTGTTGAAGACATAGCCCAACGATTGAACATTCCTGTAGAAGAAGTGAATCCTAGGTAAACATGAGCTATACATATTTACATTTTTAATACTCAATTATGAGTCTTAGGATAATTTTAAGTTAAATATTTCCTGCCCTTAATGAAAAGAAATTATTGCACTTGAAAGTTTTGACAGCTTTTTTGCAATAAAATCATTTATATTTATCACGTATAAAATAAAGTACAAAACTTCCTATTCGTGAAATGATGCCAATTCAGTTATTGTAAATGAAGCTATCTTGTTTTTGCAAAATGAAAATAATAATAAACAAAAAAAAACTACATTATTAATCATCTTTTGACATTGAAGAGAGATCTGAAGTAAACTTAAAGTACAGTGTTTCAAGTAATGGACAAACCAAGAGAAGAATATTTTGTGTGAATTAAGTATCATTTTATGGTTAAAACAAATTCTGAAATTCAAATTTGAAGACATAAGTGTTTATAGGATTTTTAATTTAAGTGTGTGAATAATGTTATGACATTGTACCTAATTCATTATTCAATATTTTACAGTAGACCAACTGTTTAATGATGTACAAACATTTAGTTTTGGTAATATGCAGATTAGTTTATTTCTAAAATTTAAAACTTGAAATAAATGTTTACATTTCTTAAGTTAGTACAGAATGCTAATATTCCATCAAAAGATTTGGAATAATAACATATTCACAAGCTAATCTGTAAATGTATTAAACCTTACTTGAAGACTGTGCCAAAAAGTGAGTAAGTTTAGGGTGTAAACCATGATTCCTACTAATTATTTGATCGAGTAGCATATTTTTTTGCACACATGCTATGCAACTGTGTATTACACTTGTTTACTTAATTTTTTGCCTCCAGAATATTGATCTTAGAAAGTTGTACACTTGTGTAACATCGATGTGTTCTGTAATGCTAGTTGTTGCTGTGTGTTTCTATATTATGCACACAGATTTAGGATCAGTTGTAATGAAATGCTTGAAATTAAAAACATTTAAATTAGGTATACTCAAAATAGAAGTTTAGATTGAGTAACAAATCATCAGTATTGGTATAAAACATGGCAATAATACTATAAACATGGAGTAATTACTTACACTCGTATTGCAATAAACAATTGTCTAGCTTAGCCGTACTTGCAATTTCCTAATCCTATTCGAAGTTCATGCCATTATATGTAATGGCTTTTTATTAATTTTTGTTTATAAATTTCAAATTTACATATTGTAAGACAAATAATATACTAGCCATTTGTAAATTATTCTTTCATGCTACGATTTCCATGGGAAAAATTTCCCAAGGCTCTGTCATTGGAAGATAAATTTAAAAATGAAATTCATCCTCAAACCCCCTCTGTAACCAAATGCATTGTAAGAATAGTACCAAAACATATAAATGTGAGTAGCGTTGTAAGGCACTTTGAACAACATGCTTGCCTAGAGTTTCAGTAAATTTCTTATTTTGAGGAAGAGAACTTACTGTGAAAGTGAATATGAGAAGAAGAAAAATAATTTATCTGAACAAGTTCCAAGTTTTTTAATGATTTTTATGTGCATACTTAGCTTTATAAACTTACAGAAAGTAACAAGCTCATTTTTTGTGAGTTTTATATACAAAATTTACAAAAACATGCATAGAAAATAAAAAAAAGGCATTTTAGTATTAAAAATGTAACTGAAATACTAAAATACATAAAATAGTTTTTTCTGTAGGTTTTTAATGTTGTAATGCAGTTTTATGTCGTAAATTAATTTTTTCGTGCTTGTTATAGTTTCAAGATTTTTTATAGTAAAATGTTGAAACATTATGTGTATTATGAAAATTTTGTATAAGGCTACAGGTAAATCTGAAAGAAAAATTATTATTTTTCTTAACATTACAGGGATGCAAAAGCAGCTGTTGTGCATGGATTTGAGTTACGAGAAATGACCCTAGATCACTTGGATGATATTTTGAAGCATCATACTGAAATTGTGTTTGCAAGGACCTCGCCACAACAGAAACTCATCATTGTTGAAGGTTGCCAACGTTTGGGAGCAATTGTTGCTGTAACAGGAGATGGTGTCAATGATTCGCCAGCTCTGAAGAAAGCTGATATCGGTAAAAAACTGCTCTGTCTTTATTGAGACCTGGCAATATACCTTTATTACACAGCTGTTAATACAGCTCAAAATTAATATATTTAATCTTAAATATTTTTTTTCTCTGTTATTGTCTGGTGACTGAGTAATTTTTTTAACAAATCACTAAAAGAAAAGAAAAAGAATAGTTTGTTATACATTTTCAGAAGAAACTCGCCAGTAAACTGTGCTCCTTTATTCTGTCTGCCAATCTTCTCATAGTAGATCCTATATATATAATCTAAAATGCTCGGAGCCTTTGTACATGTGGATAACATTCAAGTGATTTGGTTTACCTATTCTGTCTATAAACACAGAATAGTTCCTTATTCTTATTATGGGTGTAAGGTTGTCTCGAAGTTCTACTTGTGGATAAATGTTGTGTAATAAAGTTTCAAGCTGCTTCTTTATTTTCAAGGCATATTTACCAGTGAATGGTAGTGTTATATTAAGACTATTTATTAATAGTACATTATGTACCTCTTTAGGGGCTGGAAGCCTTTATGATATACTCATTGATTATGCTGTTTGTCTTTTTCTTTAGGAAATCATTTTTGCTTAAATAACATTTAATATTGTTTATTTTCTTTCTACATTAATTAGTAGCATATGGGCTCTGTATACCAAAATTCTAATCAAATTTTCTTTGAATTTCATTGTTTTAAAACTACTGTGGTTGAAATATAAATCTGAGAATGTAGATTTATGGTAGATTCCAGTTTCAAACTTCCCACCTGTTTTGATAACCAAGGTATCCAGGAACAATTAATAACAGTCCATTTGGTTTTCCACAGTGAATTTAGTACATATAAATATTCCTTATTTTAGGATGTAGGGGTTTTAATTGTCTTGTGTTATTTAATTATTGGAAGTAGGAGGATTTAAGATTTGATTTTGTATTAATTTATTGTATGATATTCTTGTGTTCAGAAGTTGAATTTATATGAAAAGTTCAGATATTTGTAGACATATTGTAGTGAAAGGTTAGAATAATTTTTGACAGATCTTTTATTAGTTTCGTTTTTGTATGATGTAACTTGTTTCCTACAATTAGGTTATAGAAAAATGTAGCTGGGTGATTGAAGGGTGGATGATTTCTACAATTTACTTTATCTTTTAATTTTGATTGGTAGGTTTTTTTTTCATTTTGGACTGATCTTGCAACCCTGATCTTCCACTCTAATTTATAACTCAAAATTTGAAAGTAAAAAAAAAAAGGATGGGGGTAGGGGTATATAAATTTAGTTAGGTGAAAAACAGTGGGGTGCCACATCAATAAGGTATGGTCATATCTTTAATGGTGTTTTCAGACTAGACGGGTATTTTTTCTGGATTGGTCATCTTGAAATATTATGGTTTCTTAATTTAGCAGTGATTTTTGTCACATACTTAATCTTTAAATTCATATCCAGTTTGGAGTTTCAAAAAAAAACATTGTAATATGCATCATCCATGAAAGATATAGTAGAGAGATACTCAAAGGATTTTAAATATGTGAAAAACTTATATTGAGTAAATGTAAGTTTAATTCAAATTTTTTTAATAAGTGTAAAATATATGAATTAATATCCAAGTTCTTAAATTGTAAGACAGCCACCTTAGATTAAAGAGTAGAAGTGACAGAAACCCAAAAAAGGTTTTTGGAAACTGAAATTAAATATAAAGAAAAAATATAACAAATAAGAAAACTATTAGATGAAGAAAAATTACAATTAAAGAATTATGTTAGGGATCTCGAGTTTCTCTTTTTCAAGATAATGAAATTATAAGAAATAATGAATTGTTGAAAATATGAAATTCTTAAATCCAAAGAAAAAGAAAATAAGTAATCATTTTCAAGAAATCCACATATAAATTATAAATTTATGAAACTATACTTTAAATGATTTAGAAAAAAAGAGAGTATTGTCTCCAGGATTAAAATTTGCTCTTACCCCTAAAAAATTGGAGTTTTGTGATTACCTACTTTGGTTTGAGTTTTTGCTAAAAAATCTCAGAATTGTGTGATTACTTGAACAGCAAAATAAACCATGGAGTATTAGTTTGTTATAAATACAAATATAAGTAAAAACAAGGGTACTGTAATTATAGTATTTTGGTACTTTTGTATAAAGTTAGAATCATAAATAATATTCAACATTAAACTGGTACACACTTAAAAACATTTTATTTAGGCCTATCTATGGCCTT